AATTGCCACTAAAGCAAATTAAAGATGTTGCTTTTTCAGAAGAAAAGCTGCCAATAGGTGTTCTCTAAATCACTTGTACCAGCAGACTGACCCTATTATGTCAGCTAATCCTGGAAATACAGGAGGGGAATTGAAATCTTTTCATACAAAGCACTTAGTCAATTTTGTTTGTTCCTCTGTTTGTTTTGTTCTGGCACAACATTGGCATTTTATATTCCTGTCCATCTTTTGCATCGGACTGTAACTTTCTGCGTAGCTGCAATGCCCAGAGGAAGAGGTCCAAACATGACTTCTCTAAGGGACAAAGCAGCCAAGGCATTTGAAAGGACAGTGCTTGTTTATCACAAAATGAGAGATTACAGCTGTATGAAGGGATGAGGAAAGAGGGTGCCAGGCATATAGGCAAGTTAATACTGGTGCTCAGGGGACAAAACAAGTTCCCTTTGTCTCTATTCCAGGGCATCATCTCAGCAGTTGTACTATCCCCTCATCTACAGCACACCTACGTGCTGCCCATCTTTCCTGCTTATGTCCACTCACCACCCAATTACCAATCCATGAAGATCCAGACCTGCTGTGTCTTGATCCTCAGAATGCTACACTGAAGCTTTTAACCCTCTCCAAACACCTACACAATTCTTTGTAATAATAATTATATTTTGCACATGGGAAGCTACATTAAATAATTACAGACAGTACTTAAACCACCAGATTAGCAGACCCTTGCACAATGCTGAAGATCTGCAACAGACAGATCTTCAAGTGAAAAGCACATTTTCAGTCTGAGTCATGTTTAAGTCCTGTTCTCCTCAGGGAACTGTGAGCCCTCTTTCTCTCCTGTTTTTGTCCTAAGACTCACCATAATAGACTTTTTTTAAAATCCCAAGTATTATGTGAATTTATGGGAGAACAACTTGCAATATGACCCACATGTGTTAGAAACACTCACTAATCTTACATGCAAATAGAACAAATTGACATATTTAAGCATTTAGATTTCTCTTTTCCTTTGTTCCCCACAAAATGTTTGAGATTTTTTATTTCTACCTCATAGTTTTCAAATTTGGCTACTGAGAGTACAACAACATTTACATACTGGGCTCAACTGAAAGTACTTGCCCTCAGTCCACAGGTACATGTCTCTCAATTACAAGTGTCCATTGCTTACGTTCTTCAAAAACACAAAACCAACCCTTAAATTCTCTTTGAATGCTGAACTAATATTAACTAGAGCAAGACATTTATAATAAACATGGGGAAAAAGTACAGCACTAGCTAGCAAGTTGACAGACTGTGATGCATAAATTTCCTTAAATGTCCTTAACCATCTTGACTTCTATAATTTTTGTCTTGTGCAAAATATCCTCTAAAATGTCACAGAAAACTCAGTATGAAAGTCTTAGGTTTTAATTTATCTCTGTGATGACCCAGGAACAATTGGTCTAATCTAGTCTAATCTATCACTTGAGGTTCATTTCATGATCATCTTTCAGGTCCATGCATCTCTCCTAAATGCAGAAGCAGCAGTTTTCTTGAAGAATACATGGTGTGAGTACACATCCAAACTCATTCTTTTGTCCCTTTCAAATAATCCAATATGATGGTTCAGGCAGTGGGGGTAGAACATGAGACTGAAAGACCATAACTATTTTTTGACTGGCATACCAAATGCAAGTTATGACTGAAAATGAAGCATCAACATATATGTCAGTTAAATAGAAAACATTAGAGTGAAGCTACCAGAAAATAAGATACGGTTGGCAATTACTTAATAAAACAGGCCTGTATAAGGAACACACTGTTGGCATTCATCTTCCCTTTTGTTTACACTATTTTATGCATTATTTTTATGTGGTGCTCAGGATCCTCTGCAAGATGTCATGCACTTCAAATATACTTGAATGTAGTGTTTTGTATAAAACCAGCTACTATTTACTCTCTGTGTATAGCAAAGTTTGTTAGAAGTCAGGTCTGTAAAACACTTTACAGAATGCTTGACAAAATTAAGCTTCTTCCTGGCAAAGATGGATTGCAGATTTAATTTAGGGACAGAAAAAGAAAGAATATTACACAATCCATGCAGTGGTAAACATAAAGAAAATATCAGAAATAAACATTTTGCTGTATCAATTTGAAATAAGAAAATACCCTATGAAAACTGCAAATTCTCGTAGCAATGGTAAGCTGGAATAAAGAACTTCTAAACAGAACCACTGAAACAAACATTATTTAGAAGTCCAAATCTTGAACAGATATTTGAAATAAAAATTGAGTACAGGTAAACAAAGAGTATCCCATATTTTCTTTAAGCATTCACAATCCTTCTGACAGCCAGGTCTGCACGTATGCTGGAGAACATGACACAGTGACAAAACCATTAGTGCACTCCTGATTTTCATACAACCACTTTGAACAAGTCAGAAAGAGATGTATCAAAAATTGCTCAGTCAGTGACAGTCTTGGCAAATTAGGTTAGTGCCCTGTATTTTACAACCCCAGGAGGTTAGTATTTGTTCATTTCTATGGCATATTATACTAATCAATCACTTCCTGCTCTTTATTCCTTCACTGTATTTTAAAATCCACTAACTAGTATATGCAGCCTCATAGCATCTCAATGATCATTTCCTTATCCCCTCTCTGCCATTGTCATTTTCTGCTGAGACTAATGCTTTTAATATGACTTTTCACAGTGTTTAGGCTATACTGCCTTCTTGAAAACTTTCAGCTGAACTGCTAAGCATATTAAAAAGCCTTTCAGATTGCTTTTGGTCGCACAAGTTCATGTTTTCAAATACTACAAAGACATATTTTTCATGGGAGGAGAGCCTTGGAATGAATACCCTTCTCCAAGTGCAGTATGAATCGCTCCAGTTCTTTTGTATAATTTGCATTAAGGTTTAAGTTCCACGTGTGAAGTGGCACCATACTGTCCAAGAAAACACAGGTTTCTTTTTTAAAAAGTGCATGCTTGTTTTGGTTCTATTTGCAATCAATTTTTTGCAAAAGGTATTAAAATAGTAGAGCTTTGTTCTGGGTGTTTCAGTTCTGACAGAAGGAAGTAGTGAGCACCAGAATGTTGTACTTCACAGGATAAAACTGCTTGATTCCCATAACTTCAGTGACCTTTTAGTGCAGACTTATCTATAGGTTCTACAAAACAGCAGAGGTCATTTATTTAAAGGAACCTATTTTCCCTGCAGACCTTTACTTCTTGTGTCAAGTCTATCAGAGGTACACTTGAAGTCACAGCACAGGTTTAAACCAGTACTGATAAACTCATGTGAGATGTGACTTCAAAACACCAGAGCAACAGGAGGAAGCACAGGGAAGTATTGAATTCATTTTCAAAACACAGAAACATCTATTCAGCCTTAAGAAACATTTGCAAATTGAAGTGAATCCAATGGGATTTGTGATCACTTGCCATTTCTTCAGTTCTTTATTTATTATGTGTACTCTGGTAGCATCTGGAGGCTTTACTCTATAGGGGACTGTACAAACACTGAAGGAAAATGTGATCTCTCCCATGAAACAACTTTTTAATATAACATGAAGTGAGGCACTAATATCCCACCAAGATCTTGCTCTAAATGCAAGACATTCCAAGTTTCAGGTTTAAAAGGTTATGTTTCTTTCAGCATATTCTATTTAGTCAAATGACTATTGCATATAGCAGTATATGCCTACAGGTCTCTCCCTCATCAATAACTTACAAAGTTTAAATAAAAATGAATGCACAGATTGGAGAAATTGAATTAAAATGGAAGGACCTATACTCAGCACCATCTACCATTAACTCCTTGTACTTTGTGACTGTGTATGCCTCAGATGTTGATTCATACACAATTTGCCAATGCAAAATAAATGAAGAAACTATAAAAGGCTGAAGATGAGAGTACTGCAGGAAAAATTAAGAAGAAAAACACATTTCTGAGGAAGAAAAATTTTTCATTTTAGTGAATGTGGAAACTTTGATACAGTTTAATATGAAGAAGACAAAATCAATTTTTTACAGAGAACTGAAAAATCAATGCTACAAGTGTGGAAAAGTCTGGAAATCAAAAAAAAAAAAGTATCTTAATACCAGATGAGACCTTAAAACTTGGACACTTCCATTTGTGTCACATAGCAATTTTCCTTCTGTAAAGACAAAAATAAACAGGACAAGCTGATCTATCCCTGACCTAATTTTGCATTTAAACCACCAGAGATTTTTATAGCCCAGGATTCTAATCTGGCCTAGGGATGTTTTCAGCTCACATTTCCTGCTACCTCTTTCCTGCCTTGATTTTGCTGTTGTCTCCTGCCCAAGTTCTTCAAACTTTCTATGAGCTGCATATACTGTCTTCAGCAAGTGATGAGCCTCTTTAAATCCACAGATTTAAATCCAAGTCCTTAAAACTAATAATGCACCCTGTATAGCCTAATTTAATCATCAAAGAAAATCACTACAGCCACTCGCCAAAATCACATCACAACCTTGACCATAGTTCAGGAGAGTACCTGATTCAAAAGAGATTCTATTTTTGTGCAGCTTCTTCACCATGTAGTTTGTACCACCACATGTACTCCAAAATCCAGATCTACTCACTGAAAAAACTCTGGAGTTTATTGCCAATAACATAAGAAAGAAGGCAGCAGGCCATGTTAGCTCATATTAAGGGTTCCCTCTGAATTTGGACTACTTAGGGGATTAATTTAATCTGACATATCCTGGCAGGGTTTGATGAGTGGCACATTCATATTCAAACCTGTGATAAGAAATTAAATGCTATTTCCTGTTTCTGAGCCAGTGAGGCAATAAAGTCCACTTCGAGATATGCATGTTTCTGGTTTAAAAGTGTCTGATATTTTACAATACAGGCAGCTTGTAACTGCAATATGGGAATAAACAGACATTCCACTTTAAGCAGGCATTACTTAGGCAGTGGAAGACTCCATAGATATCTATGAAAATATTTCATTTATGCACTGCAACAAGAATAAAACTCTCTTACCTGCAGGTTTGCACATGCTGGTGAATCATTGTGGGAGGGTATTTCATTGTTGGTGGTCTCTGAACCTGTGTTTTTAAGTCTGGAAGCTGTTGTAGTTGTGGCTGTAGTGGTCTGTACTGGTAAGATTGGCTGCCAGACATTCACATCAGTACCATTGCCAAAGGCCTGAATCGCATTTTCTGTAAAAATAAATTACAGGCAATTTTCAAGTTCTAAATAAAAAGCAAAAAGCAGAACTGAGTTGGGTTTTATTATAATTATTACATTGAAAAAGTGTATTTATAGAGACTCAATTTTATGGTGAAAAATGTGTCTTAATTTTGAACCTATCAGAAACACGAACTGGAAGTCTGGGGTCACATAATTATCTTGTGCAGCCTCTTCTTTGTAGTGTTTCCAGTAATACTTCACAGAAGCTCTAGGACTTACCATAATCATATTTGCTACCATCTAAAAGCCTCAAAAATTTAGTTTCAAGATTTAAAATACAGTTTGAATGTCATGTCCTAATTCAGGCAGGTCAGGTTTAAAAACAGACAACAGGCAAAATATTTATTTCTACAGCTTGTTGTTGTAAAACTAATATGCCTATAACTACAAAATAGTTTAACTAAGGCAATCTTTTCCTTACAGTTTTCAATCAAAATCTGCATAATTAGGTGAGGGAAACATGCTTAAACTAAAACTTCAGAATATAAAAGTTAAAAAGCTTATCACAGTTTCACGGGATTAAAGAGTGTGTTTATAGCAAGAGTAAATTGGTTGGGTTTTTTTATAAACAAATAGAAAAACAGTTTTTAATCAGGTCTTTGGGGATTCAACAAGGATTTAGGGATTTCTTATTTCAAATTCTTTGTACAAGAAATCAAACAATTTCACTGGGGACTAATATGTGGAAGTTATTAATACTTCTCAGTGGTTTTCCTTGCCTTATAAAATAATTTACATTTAATTTTCATCTGAAAAGGGTTTTCCTTGCCTTATAAAATAATTTATATTTAATTTTCATCTGAAAAAAATGTATTTTATTTTGATATTAGTTCTTAGAACTCCAACATGCAAAGAGAGGTACCAGAATCAGCTGAGTTAATGCAGACGAAGTGGGAAGAGTGACAAGTTAAGTTTTCTTGGGTTTCCCTGACTAAGGCAATATATAAAGCAATATTTGCCTATGATTTCCTAAATTGACAGTAACTCTTTGTTTCCACTATTGCAAGAAGGGCCACAGAAATACATGCAGACCTTCCAATTTTCTATGTAACAGGTGCAGTAACTCTTTGTTTCCACTATTGCAAAAAGGGTCACAGAAATACACGCAGACCTTCCAATTTTCTAAGTAACAGGTGCTCTTTACACTTAGTTTCCTTTAATTATTTCAGACAGACTCGATGATCCTCATGAGTCTCTTTCACCTTAAGATATTCTATGATTCTATGACAGAATCACAGAATGGTTTAGGTTGGAAGGTCCCTTTAAAGGACATCTAGTCCAACCCCACTGTAATGAGCAGGGATACCTTCCACTAGACCAGGCTACTCAGAGCCTGACCTTGAATGTTTTGAAATCAAAATGTCCACTCTAGTTTCAACTTAACATCTGTTGCAAAAGGCATTACAACTCCAGAGTGGAATTTCCAGGGAAGTGCAGAGGGAGGTGTAAGAAAGACCAGGATTTCAGGTGTGAATGTGGGACACAGCTCCTTATCCCTGTGCCACATCATGCACAGTATGAATATGACCCTTGCTCTCCTGCTTTCTGAGTCCTCTAATCCACAGGGTACAGCCTCAGCTATTCCACTCTGCATAAATAACAAAATGAATTTTGAATAATAATTTAAGTTAGCTTTCTGACATTACTGTAAATTCCCCAAATAACCAGCTTATTTTCCATTTTGAAGGAATATTTTAGCAAAACAGACAAGCAAGAAATTTCTAGTTTCTTCTCCCATTGTGGAAAAGCAATTTTTATTTTGTCTAGAAGAAGTGGGAAGAATTTTAATGACACTTTCTCCAGGCAGTGGAAGGCCCAAGAATGACAGCAAAAATTCAAAAAGACCCAAACAACCACACACAAAAACCCCAGAACAAATAAACAAACAAAAACTCCAAAACAAAACCAACTAAAAAATCTTTCCCCGTTCTCCATAAAAGAATAAACTTCATATTAAACCAGAAACATCTTTAATTTCTTTATGAAGAAGACATCTCTTGCTGCTAGGAAGGCTATAATTTGTCTCACAGTAACCTCTAATGTCTTTGATTTGTCTTCATTAATGCTTTTGCACCAACAGCAAAAGAAAGAACAAGGAATTGCTCTGTCTTTATGTTCTAAAAGGAACCTGCAACACTTTAGAAATGAATACATTCACAAATGGATAAAATCTGAGGTATTACAATATAATATAAATGGCAACTCCATTAGGCTTGTAGGTGGTCTGATGGTATAGTGTTAAATTTTACCCCATCATAGTTTATACTCTTTTTTCTTTTGTTAAATGAACTTAAGTAATTGATTCATTCTTCCAAACCTTAACAAATAGTGTATCATATAGCAACTCAGGTTTTTGTATGCAAAGTTCCCCATGTCTTCACTACAATGCTGCCTCTTGAGAAGCTACCAATGGAGATTTTCAGACTCTATACTAAAATACAGACTGAACTCTGTATTAGCATTAGCTCAGGTCGGTAGGGCTGGATAGGACAGTCTGGATCATTGAGTTCATTCACTGTTTTGGAAAAAAAACCAACCATGTTGCTCCTTTGCATAAGCTGACGAAATATGACTTTTAAAAACGCTAAGAAATTTTACCCTCAAAACTCCTGCTGGAAGACGATTTCTTAAGTCTAGTCTAAGGTTAAAAATTTCCAATTTTGACCCTAAATATGTATGGCAAATATCTCCCTTTTTGATCTAATGCCAACATTGTCCTTTAGGTGAAGTAATCCTTTTCTCTCCCTGGGTTTGCCCCTCTAATGCAATTTCAGAGGACAATCACATATCCTTTCAACTTCTGTTTTGCTAGACTAGGGAAGCCAAGCTCTTTTGGTCTCCTCATTTATCTGAAATTAAAACTCTGATGCACACTCCACATCATCCAATTATGCTGCTCCAGGCAGACAGGAAATTTGAAAAGAGAACCTGCCAAAATCGACTCCACTGAGCCACTCTGAAATTTATAATAGTCCCTAATTTGGAAGTGAGTCTGATGGAAAGAAAAATCAATAATTTAACAAAATCTTTTCAATAGTTACCATCCACACTTGTGTTAGAACCAGGCATCTGAGATCAAATATCCTAAAAAACCTGAAGTTGGCTATAAATTGCAAGCACAATCCAATTTATACTTACCTACAGCAAATTCTTCATATCATAAACTACATGTCATTTTTTATATGAAGTTCTTAAATTATACAGAAACCCCTCAGGTGTTGCAATTTCTTGGTGAAGATGCTGCCTGACTCTTAGGGTCCAAATATGATCTGTGATGTAAACATACTTCAATATGATACAACTTTGTTGTATCTTCATTTTTCCAAGAGTTTCTTATGTTTCCAGTCTTGGCCATAAACCGCAATATCAGGCATTCATTTAATTTTTACACCTACAGCAGAATTATACTTACAAACTGCAAAGCGATGGCCTTGATGTATCTTAACACACTCAAACAATAAAGAAATTTCAGAAAACATCCTAAAATACATTAAAAGGCATCTGATTTTGTACTCACTAAGGCATATGTTGTCCTGGAAGAAATTCAGAAATTTCAGGCATTCATCTATGTCATTACCACTGTTGCTGCAGTCACACCATGGGGCAACGCTGAGACTGTTTGAGTCTATGTAGTTTGGTGTCATCACAGTGCCTGTTAACAGAGTGAAGAGGAGTACTGTGAGCAACCTTTGTATCGAGAGATTCATAGAATCACAGAATCATAGAATTAAAGGGTTGGAATGGACCTTACAGATCATCTAGTCCTAATCTCCCCTGCCCTGGGCAGGGACACCTCCTCACTAGATTAGGTTGCTCAAGTTTGGCCTTGAACACCACCAGGGTTGGGGCAGCTACCACATCCCTGGGCAATCTGTGCCAGTGTCTCACCACTCTTCGAGTAAAAAACTTTTTTCTAATATCTAACCTAAACTTTCCCTCCCTCAATTTGAACCCATTGCCCCCTGCCCTATCATTGCACTTCCTAGCAAAGAATCCCTCTCCAGCTCCCTTGCAGGCCCCCCCTTCCATCCTAAAAAGGCAGCAAACAGCACTTGCTAAGCCATGTATTTGGGGCTGGATTCACACTGCAGACCCCGGGCAGGGCTCCAACCTCCACGCTTAACAGTTCCTGGCTCCCTTCACCCTTTGATACCCAGCTCTGTGCCACACTTCAAACCCCTAGTTGTTTGAATGCAGCCACTTTAGAGACTGTAACATGATTCACACATTTAAGACCCATGTCTTTCCTCCAAAAAGGATTCCCAAGGAGACCTGCATCAGCAGAACTGGCAGGTAGAAAACCATGGCAGAAGGGAGGGATGGGTTGGAGGAAGCTGAGTACCTCTTTAAAGGGCTTTGCTGACAAATCAAACACACGCGGACCTGTGTCCTTAGAGCTGCACTCTAAAAATCTGACTTTTCTTCCTCACTTGTGTTTTTTCTCGTTTTAATTCCAGCTGCAAATAAATGGCTGAAACTAGGTATCCACACCTGTGCCTCCTCCTTGAGTCTACAGCCAGCCTGAAAACACATTTCCGAAATGCATGAGCAAGGGGACTGCTAGTCCTGCTGAGGGGAGCCCTAATACTTCTTCGAGGAGTGTTAACCCGAGGGTGCTCATTAGGGACTTGCCAACAGTGTGGGTTATGGTGAATGAATAGAGCAAAAACCAGCATGCATGAAAAGGTACAGCAAATTATTTGCAGGTAATAAATAACTATTAATCTTGCTGTCTCACTACTTCTTCAGTACAGTGATTATTTCCTAAACATTGTCAACAATTTCCAACCACAGGGTCATTCTAACTCTATTACAAATTCTTGGGTAAATATTCTCACATTTATATGTCAACTCAAGGCTACCAAGAATGAAATGAAACCAAAGGCAGCATTCTGTGTTGTAAAAGATGTATAGCAACTGTTCATCAGTCATCTGGATTGGGAAACTGTTACATGATCAGCACTTGCTCAAGCCAGTAGTCTCATTGAAGGCATCACCAAAGCAGGTCAGGTACTTCAGACTTCTCTAAGGATTGAGAAGTTTGAGCCTTTATTTTATTTGTCTGACCAAAAAGGAAAAATTAAATAAAAAGGGGAAGGTATCCCAGAATGCCAGGTATGCCAGCTGTTTCAGGGAACACGTTCCTCACTTGATAATCTACAATTCTAGGACAGGTTATATATCGTGAGAAAATGTGATCACATCTCCTCAAAAAATGACATCAAAGTAGTCATTAAGAAGATGGAATAGATGAAGGACAAATGTAGTGACCCAAACTGTACACTAGCAGAGAAAATTTGGTCCATAGGTCCAGGGTCTAATAGTCTGCAATAACCCATGGGAAAGGGCTATCAAACATCAAACTAAAAAAAAAGGACCATTAGAAACAACACAAATCACAGGATTATGTCAAATAGCCTTTCAGCCACCAGGCAGTGCTGGGAACTGAAAAAATCAGCATGCAAACTGCTTCATATATGATGTTGGGAGACAAAGGGGAGTAGCATCAGGGCTGGCCTGAGAAAGGCAGTAACCTATGTGAAAATGAATGAGTCCCATTACCAAACTCACAAAAGGCATTTTTGTTTTGTTTAGGGGATGCTCTTGAATTGGAATGCAACCCCACACCTTTGTCTACCTTCAGCTTTTAACAGACAGTTGCCCTAATAATTGCTCAAATTCTACATGAGATTAGCACATGAGTAAATAGCACAGTTCAACATTTATTAAATGGAGGTAGAGAATTTAGTAAAATATGCAAATATAATTTGCATCATTAATGAAAACTGGACAGTAGGTAAATAAGAAGAGGAATGCTGTTAAATTAAAATAAAACACATTCAAATGTCTGTCCCTTATCCATTTGATGGTACAGGACAGTATTTCAGCCGTGGTCTGAAAAGAAGTGACAAAAAACAGAAATCAAGAGGATTTTGCAAATGGAAAGAAAACAGTAGGCTAAAAAAAAATTCTAATTAACAAACACTTAGTGAAGGGTTAAAAAAGCAGAAAGGTATTGAGGAAATTAAAAAGGTCACTGAGGTAAGACCTTCTTATCATGAAGAGGTAATAAGGTAATTAAAATGGGTCAAGACAGGGGTTAAAAGTGTAACAGATACCAAGGTACAATTAGGGTTGATGAACACAGGAAAGACAGGACAAGGAAAGTGTGTACACAGCACACAAACTGTACATCCAGCAAAAACAGAGTGGCTGAAAGAGCAGCTAGTAGAAAATCAGTCTGTCATTTAAACCTGGGGGCAGATGTGAACCCAAGCGGATTATATGCTTGGTTTCCTGGGGTGGATTTTCTTTTTTGCCTGCAATGTGTGTGCCTTACCCTTCCCCCCCTCCCTGCTAGCTGGCATCTTGGAAATTCTGCTGAAGGACACTAACGGATCAGAGAAACCATGGTGGTTGGCAGTAAAATAGGACATGCTTGGTTTTCTGAGCTCCACGTGTCAAATAGTTCTGTGATGGTCTCACTAGTAAGCAGCCAGATCTTCATATTTTAGATAAAAGTAGAATTGACCACAGTCAAGGGGTTGCTCAAATTAGGGTCAATTAAGAATGAGGAGATGGATGGTGAGTCTTGGAGGAGGGACAAGTGGCTGAAATTTCTTTGGCCCAAAGCAAGCCCAGCTTATTCAAACAAACTCTGATGGAATTCCTGGGAATGTCAGAGAAATTAGATGGATTTTACTTGAGACAAGGGAAAATGTGTCAGAAAGTGAATGCTAAAGCAGATCTTGAAGTCAGCAGTTAGAGCAAAACTTAATTGATGTGGGAGTGCAGACAGGTCCAGATGGCTTAGCTAGGCTGTAACCAAAGCACTGACTCTCAGACATGGCTATCCACAATCTCCTTTTACATTGAACAACTTCTGTATTTTTCTGTTTATTTTTAAAAAAAAGTATTAATTTATTCATATTACTACAACAAGGAGCCTAAAGCAATGAATTAAGGTTTTCAAAATTCCTGTAAAATATATATATCTTTAAAATTACACACATAACACCCTGATGCAAGCCTTAAAGTACCTCTATAGACTGTTCTCCATTTCACTGATAAAACAGCTCACACAAAACTGTGCCTGACTCTACTTCCACTTAAGTCATTCATTTTAGGTGGGATTCCACTAATTTCAGTGAAGTTAACTCTGATGTACACCCCTGTAGAGGAAAAGTATATATATCTTTAAAATTACACACATAACACCCTGATGCAAGCCTTAAAGTACCTCTATAGACTGTTCTCCATTTCACTGATAAAACAGCTCACACAAAACTGTGCCTGACTCTACTTCCACTTAAGTCATTCATTTTAGGTGGGATTCCACTAATTTCAGTGAAGTTAACTCTGATGTACACCCCTGTAGAGGAAAAGAGATTCACAATTTCAGTGAAGTTAACTCTGATGTACATCCCTATATAGGAAAACAGATTCACATTCACTATACCTTCCATAAAGAATCCTCAATTTCCTGAATAAACTCTACGGACGTGCAGTTTTTGTTACATTCAATGAAATGACTAAATGAAATTATATTTTATTTTCATGAACAATACTTTATCTTAATTAAAAGGAGATCCTGAAGCTCTGATGAATGAATGGATCGATAACAGCTTCTTACCCACAGACTCTCTCTTCTTCCTGTCTTTTATATGTATTAAGCAGACATTTGAAAGATTATACTTCTGATTTCTATCTCAGGATTTTATAAATTTGATGTGCTTCACACAGTTTAGCCCATTTTATATCAGATTGATATCAGAAGCAGGAATTTACTGCTTCAGCACAAGAAACTTTTGTTTTGGTAATCTTGCTTTATCAGAATTACTAATAAGAAGTAAAAACTCCTGTAACACAAGTCAGTTCCTCTTTTGCATGTCTCTAGGGGCTAGCAGGAAGGAAGAAAAATGTATATTTTTCCCTTTGAAAACTAGATCTCCTTTTGATTTCCACTCCTTAGGGATCCACTCCATGATAGTGTTTTGCAGCATGGTCATCCACAGTAACACAAAAATACCTCACTACAGGAACTGGGTCATCTTTGGGGTTAAACTGAAAAATGAAACCAACAGAACTGCCAGCAAAATTCACTAGGTCCAGCAAGAACTTCTTGGCAGCTCTGACCCAGAAGTACCTATTAGTAACAGTTACTCCTTGCCAGCAGCCAGACTTCTTAATACCATTGACTAGATCAGATTTCAAGGCTATTCAATTCTCTGTTTCAGAGGCAAATGACATTCTGTCATAACTGTTCATATGTTATACCCTTTGCATACTATCTTAATCTCTTCAGTCATAGCAGCATATCCTTTGGAGCCATCACATCTTATTTAACCCATTGCCACATGGACTTACCTCACTTGTTAGCTGCTAGAGTAATAAGAATGATAACAATAAACCCCTGAAAAAAGCTTGTCATTTTCTCAGCAAACCCAACCTATTTTAGAAATATTCTGGTTTCAGTATTATCTCCAGAGACATTTATTTAACAGCAGGATCAGCTTCAGGGCCTCAGCTGGCACCTTCGTGCCCAACAGAAGGGGATAGAACTGCATCGCAGCAGGTGCAGGCTGCAAGCTTAAAAACATCTTATCTGGTGGCCTTTAAAATTTGTTTGTTTCAGAGTTTTGACATTCACTTATTGTTTATTACCCAACTATGATATTTCTACAACACGTTCACCTTCCTGAAATTAGCTCTCTCTTTCAGGAATCAAATACTACATGTGGCAGATGAAATCTGGCTTCCATAAAGGCACCTCTGTGCCTGTTGACAGCCAGGCAAGTGACAACAAACGAAAATAATTATGCTGAGGAGAGAGGAGGATTTCACAGGATATATTTGCTCTCAGTTCATCTCATTGACAGGCATCTCAGAAAACATTTAGAGTGGACAGAGGGGTATCATGGAAAGAATAGCAGCTGGAAGTGAAACAAGGCTGGATTCATCTATTGTTTCATACCCCAAATGTCCTGTAAAGTTTCCCAGAAGACCAGGAAGGTCTTTACCCAACCTTATGGTGAAAACTACAAAATCAACCAAGATGCAGTTTCACTTGTTCTTTTGAACTTCCTGCTCCTCACTCCTGTCCAAATTCAACCATCTTAACAAGCTTTATTTTTAAGCTTGAATTTATTTCAAATTCAGGCACTTTTCTCTTCTCATCTTCCATCCTTGAATTTATTTCAAATTCAGGCACTTTTCTTATCTTCCATCCTTAGTTTTCCTGCAATGTACGAATTTACCCCATGAATCCCTGTAAGGTAAAACAAGGTCAATACACATAGGTGGAGAATTTGGCCCAGTGTCATATTGTAAAATACTACATTCCAGTGCCTATTTCATGTAGGCCTTCAAAAAGTAGTTTGGATGTTTTTCTTGCACTGAGTAAGCCCCCACCCTTCCCTGCCTCCTTACCAATGAGCCCCGAGTAAGCGAGGAGGCAGTCAGCATAGTTCTCCTTCAGACAGCTACTAACAGACCGTGACTCAGGCTGGCAGTTTGTGAAGAAATCTGCAAGGCGAGATCTGCAACATGAAGAAAAATGCATATCTTAAAAATCAAGCCTGCAGGCATTCTTACCTTTTACACTCCCTTTATTTTTGGACAAGGCTTAATCTTCTTTAACTTAAATGCATATTGGACACATTTCAGCCAATGAGAGCCTCTTTCTAAGATGCATCTCTTTCCAGAATCTATTTTTGAAGTCAGAACAAAAAAGTGTAAGAAAACGGTAAAAAGGGACAGAACAAAAGAGAAATGCCTGCTCTTTACTAAAAGAAATGTTCTGCATTTTCATGCCAAGAAAAAAAGACAAAGAGTGATTTTATCATACGAGGAGTCATTTTGCCTGGATCTGAATATCTGGAGTCTGTTATTCTACAGATTTGGAACACAGTTTCTGCTGTTTTACTGATTACACAAAACTGCTCACAGAGCCCTCTCACTGCAAGACTTGAGGCAGGAGCTGTTCTGGTACTGCCCTGAGTTTCCCAAGAATGGGTTTGGAATTGGCCTGCAGGACCAGCTGGCTGAGCTGGGGTAGCAGGCAGAACCAGCTGGCATGGTCTCCACAGCCCCCCAGAGCCATGGTACTGAGAATCTATTTGTTCTTGTAAAATGTGCATTCATCCAAAGTCTAGAGTACTGAGCCCAGGGCAGAGAAGAAGGCAATGTGTGCTCTGCATCAAGTTTCTGATGCTGAATGGCTGTATTATCTTTACTTACCTCTGTCACCCCATGACCAAGAAGGGCAGAGCACTGCTTACTTACAAGAGGTGCTTTAAGGCTAGGAGTGAAGCTGTATTGTGATTAACAGATTACTGCTACATTGGAAAACAAAATAAAAGGACTAGCAGCCAGGATCTCTTAAAGGCTTTAAAGGTGACACAATGCTCCCATTCAGGTCTGTAAAATTTGTGAGACATTGATGAGGCAAGTCAAGGTCTCACATCCTACAGTGGCTCTCCTGCCCAGCTTTAGGGTTATAAACTTGGAACAATGACTTTTGTTTATTGATAAGGTGTCACTTAGACCTTTACCTCCATGCAAAAAAAAAAAATATTCACCACTCTACTTTGATCTTCTCTTAAATAGGTATAAAAATGTTCTTTTGCATGCAACAAGCCACAGTGATGTCTCAGGATCAGGTGCTTAATCTTTGTAAAGCCCTCTCAAAATCAGAATAGTATAATCTATGAATTTTCAACAGTGCTCTAGCATTATGCAATATAAATGCTCTTTTTTAGTTTTGCAACAAACCCACAAAAGTTAGCAGAAACAAGTGATTTGCAAGTGATTTACTTTATTTGTTTACATGCTCCAGAGACTAATTATCTTTGTTTGCTTTATTGTTTTACCTACCTCAGAATGGGATGGGATATACATCATTAATTGGCCTGAAAGTAATGATGGGCAAACTTCAAAAGGTTCACAGGCTTAATTAGAGAAAGCATCCTATAAATAGATTCTATGCAATCTATACCTGAATTTATCCTAGCTGCTCTCATGGCCTTTTTTTTTAGTTTCATCTCTTGCAAACTGTACTGACACCAGCAAATCCACGGTTGCCTTCAAGTCACAGTCAACTCTAAGCTTTGTACTCCCTCTCTTCCCTTATTTAACCATTTAACCTTGAGATGGAAATATGTACCCAGTTGCCTTTTTAACAGCTTCAAAACAGTCAGGCTCTCTACTGAGCCTTCAAGATGCCCTATATGTATATAGAAATTTCTAAATTTACAGAAAATCCTTACTTTGCTGGTGAATATATACTGCACCTATCAGGAGACAAGTGGAGAAGAAATGGCTAACAAGAAATGGGAAGAGATAAATAGCAGCACCATGAAGAAGACCTGGGCAAGGAAACCTTATGTCAGTACAGTGATTCCTCTTTCAGCCAGTAATTAAGATAGTGGCTTGAATCCAGCCTTTGGATCAACTGGGAACAAAGAGTAATCCTCCTGATTCTACTAATACCTGAATGAAGTCAGGTTTAGAACAGAATAGAGCCTATTGCATCTATCTAGTGTGAAAAACCTTTGCCATGGTAGAAGGAGCACGCCTGCTGTATGTGCAGTAATTTTGCATTTCTAAAACAGAGTAGCTCCCCATATTTAAATTTCATTATTTATGTGTCCACAAATAAATCTTTTTGGAGAGGCAATTATACGATCAGCATCTTGATAATCCTGAAAACACTCCATGCAATCATTTCATCATTCTTAAATGTCCAGTTCTCCCTTATGTTATTAGGTGCATTGGTCCAGAGATCATTTAATACATTCCTCTTCTCTAAATGTTTTTAAGGACTGATAACTATGGAATAACACCAGTCATTTACTACCCAGTCTGCTTAAAGAACTTATTTGTTGTAAATCCTAAAGGAGGCTAAAAATTGCTCTGCTGATCTCTTTTGCATAAAGCTTGATTTCTACGTGAATTTCTGAAGAATTTCTGTGGTCATAAAAGGTAATGATCTGACAATGTTGCACATTTAAGTTTTCATAAGTCAAGTATAGTTCAGACAGCTCTGGTCTAAGCATTACTGGACATTATCACAGACTTCTTCCCTAGTGTGTCATCCAAACTTCATACTATCAAAGCTCTCACTCTCTCCTGAGCTGTTAACTACACCTGATATTTATGTGGATTCATTTCCAGTGGAGAGAAAGTTAAGACCAGAAAATAAAGGCAGAGACAGACCTCCATCTGCTGTAAAATAACTCCATTACTTTCAGTGAAGATCTGCTGATTAACACTCACTGAATATCTAGCCCCAAACATTTCCAGTAGACTGGCACTGATGAGAGTGTTCTCATCAGTTATCACTGAAACAGTGGTTCCGCTATTTATCTAAAGAGAGAGACAAATTAGCCTAATGAGAATCATTAATCCTAAAGTATTGCACATGGATGTTAAGAACTGTTTGGGTAAAAGAGGCAATCCTTTTAGGGATGCTGAATAAGAGCAATCAGGTAATAGCCTATAAAAAAAT